AGATCCCATAATGTCAATAGGTAATGAATGTTTTGGATCTAAAAATTTCAACGTAGCAAACACAAAATCATCAGATGTATGTATTAAAGATAGATATAGTTTAATCGTGACTTCCTTTTAATTACCAAATTCTATCACTGCTTCCATTATATCAAACAATTCACATCTTTTACTATCTGTTTTAGCTACTATCATATCAGAATCATTAATCTATTATAATATAATTATTATTTTAAAAAATATATATATATACTTTAAAATTCAATTATGTAATATAGTATTACATTACCTTTTTAGGCAATAATAAGGGCTTGAAGAGATTCTATTATGAAGAAATAATATTAACAAGTATTCAACGTAAAATTATTATACGTGTATGAACATACCAAACGGTTGGAAATGTTTTTTTCAATCATTTGATTGAACTTCGCATCTGCTTCTTTCGTGAGTTGCTTACACCAAGAGTCATATCTTTCCATATTTAAAATAGGAAAGATGTTACTGTAAATTCCATAATATTGTTTCAATGTGCTAGCAAGTATCTTTGTGAAAAAAAATAAATTTATTAATCGTATATGATATAAATAATTTTTTTTTTGTAAAGGAAAAAAACACTTACCGAATAATAGTACCACGGGATATTGTACAAATATCCTTCCATCGCTTTTCTCCAATCCATCGATGGCTCTGCGTAATTCTGTATATTATCTATCAAATTGAACAAATATAAATTGAGTCGATCTTAATTAATTAAATTAAATTGATTAAATTTTTAAAAATAAATACGAGTTCTCAATAATTGAGCCAACTCAATGTAATTGTATGGAAGGAGAACGAGACATGCTTCAATAGTATATTCATCTTTTCTGATGGCTGTCAAATATCCAAACGGTTGACCAAGTACACCTTGACTATGTCGTCCACTATGTTCAACATAAACCTTTTATATAAAAATTTTAATACATATTTATGATCGAATATAATTAACATTGACGTGTTAATGATATTTTGCTTACAGGCCATTTAGTTCCTGGTTTTTGCCTCAATAATTCTTTGCTCACGTCACAATCTGATAACTTGTAAATGTCGCGAGAAAATTGAGGTGGCAAATCATAAACGTCCGCACTTAATTTATTAGTTTTCCAAAATATGATCGTAGGGATCGATGGACGTTTATGTTCATACTAAATAAAAAAAAATAAAAAAATAATTTTAAACATCATAAAGAAAAAATATTAACAAATTACTCAGTTCAAGATATTCACCACGAATTTTGGGGAAAACCCTCTCATTGCATCAGGTTCAACCCAATATTCTTCAGGAATTGGATAAGTTCCATTTATCTTATTCGGATCGACGTAGAGATGAACAAAATGATTATTCCTTTCAGGAGATCCATCCTCTAATACGAAAGAATTAAATCAATATCACGCGAAATTTTTTAAAAAAAAAAAAAAAAAAAAATTTTTTGTTATCAACCTAGTTCAACTAAATTCAAATGTACCCCACACGTCTTTTTCAATGGACGCATATGACGTAACTTAGAAAGTGGATATGGATCCTTTATGCAAATGATATTATCAAATGCATGGACCATTTGCTCAAATGTTTGAATTTTATACAATTGACCTATAAATTCGAATGAATTATTAGAAATTTAATTGAATATTTATAAATACGCATAATTTAATATGATTACCAAGCATTTTCATATTTATCCAATCTAATTGTCTTGGAAAATCAGACGAATCTGATTTCGAAAGATAAAAAGTATACAATCTCTGCTCCCATCGATACTTTTCTTGGTAAATATTTGTACTTTTTTCTGAATCCTTCTAAAATAAAATAGATTCAATTTATTGATGTATTGAATATTAAGGTCAAGTTTTATGGTAATATTTATTACCGAGTACACGAGACCGTTATTCAACCAATTTAAATTCTTTCCATCTGTAAACCAAAATATACAAGAAGTCTCGTTGTGTTCGATATAGTTGCCCTAAATTTAAATATGATAAGATCACCAGTAGCAGAATTCTTCACGTGATCTACTAAGAAACTGTCACGTGGCTTAGTATCAAATATTAAAGATTACTTACTCTACAAAAAAAATCATGCCATCTACATATGCGACGAAAATTTAAATACTCAAAAACTGTTTCAAGTCCCGATCCGTAGAATAATGGGTCTGGTTGTAATAGCTCAAGTTGTTCAAATAATTTATATAATTTATTTCCATCTTTTTTATATTCCCACTATAAATGAAAATATATATATATATGAAAGCTTCAAAATTTATAATTCATATTGATTTATTTGGGAAAATATTAAACTGAATGTGACAAAGAGAACATATTGGAGAGAAAAAAATTTACCTTTATACAATAACCTTCTTTATCGGATGACACTAAGAGATATTTGGTACGATACTGATCTCGTGTTCCATTCATATACTACTTATAGTAAGCAGATGAAAATTTTATTTAAATTATTAAAACTTGCAAACTTACAAAGATTTTAAATATATTATTTATATTTATTTACCTCTAGAAAATTCCGAATTCCATCTTTGACAATATCCAATAGGGACGATCCGACTAAAGTCTCATCTTCACAAACATCTATCACAAATGCGATAATCATCTTAAATCTACTGCATCATTAGAAATCAACATGGTTAGGAATATGAAATATTAACCGTATCAATTATAAGTATGATTACTCACATGAATATTTTTTTAACTCTCCTCTCGGTTTACACTTCCTTTTCTAATAAGAATAATAATAATTCGATAAATTTTAAGTTACTGCGCCATATGTCATAATTGTGCGCAGTACATGATTAGGTAATTTCATTATTAAACTAATTACTGCGGTGATAAACTTACAATAATAAATTGTCTTGCTAGATTAGCTCGAACAAATTTGAGATATGCACAGCTATTACCATATATGGAAAAAGAAGAAAATATTAAAAAAATTTTTCTTTAGGAAAAAAAAAAAAAAAAACGGAAAGACTTTTAACCATATCCATAAAATAAAAAGACTGTGAATGAAAAAGTTGATTTCATTTTCTTTAGAAAACGAAACTTTCCCATTTTCAGTCACCCAAGACTTGCCTTATTCTCAAGAACAAGAATTTTGGGTTTTACAAAATTGAAGGAAAGAAGAAAAACCGAAGAAAAACACTGGGCGCAAAAAACGTGCCTTTTATAATTTTTTGGATCTACTCCTTGTATCACTTAATCACGTGATGTTGCGTAATAGTATGATTTATATACACTTTAAAAAAGATTATTTATACAGGAGTCGAGTGTCTAGGCTAAATTTGTTCTTTATTTAACCTTAATAAACTGGGCTTTGCGTTAAAAACGTAGACCCTTATGGTCAACTTTCATGTTACACTGAACTAACAACCAAAATTGATCGAGTACCAATTAATTTTTTATAAAATAAAAATTCTCGATCAAAAAGTTACCACGATCACATGATTAGATATTGTTTTGTAGATTGTATTAAATTATTACTAATCTCTAATAATTTCTAATAAAAGATATTTTAAAAAAAATTTTATCTTAAAAATAATGCCAATTTTTTTTTTAATAAAAAAAATATGAACTTTGGTGGAATAAAAATAGTTATTAATAATAATAAAAAAAAAAAAAAGAGTCCGTTCCCTCTTTATCCGCCAACTTCTATCTCTTCCATTGGTACCATTTCATATCTATCTCTATCAACGTCAGCACTTGTTTTAGTTTTCACCGCTGCACTGCTACCACTGGCGCCACCACCAGCACCTTCTCCTATCTCATCATTTAATAGAATTGGTTCCATCTCTTTTCTCATGCAATAAATTTCACCACCAAAAATCATGATACAACATGTTGTTGCATTTAAAGCCCACCATACAAATGTCGTAGGCATATGACCGGAGTAATAAGTAGTTATCAGTAAATGAAAAAAATGTAAAGTTAAACTAAAATCTAAAACAAGTCTTGCGCGCTGAATAAGTCGCACGAGGAGATATATTCTAAATGTAAAATTTTAAACTAATTGTAAACAAGATAATTGGAAATTCAATATGATAATATATAATATAATATAATTGAATATAACTCACCCAACTATAGAATTTGCTATCCATGCAAACCCTATTGTCCATCCTAAGACTGTGTCTGCCCTGAACTCTCGATAGTCTAATAAGTGGTCTAATGTTATATCGGTTCCTGTTACTAAAAGAGTGAAAAGGGTAATAAGAGAGATAGATGTATAATATAAAGTTTGCAAAGCAATGATCTAAATAAAATGAAAATTTGACGAAACTTGTTAGTTTGAAAAAAAAAGCCAAAACCATTTCGCTCCTTCTGAGGCAATAAATCTAAACCTATTTTTTACCTGAGAAAGGATGAGAAGTGGATCCCAAACCGTTGTTCTAAATGTTTGATTTCTACGCATTGAAAGCTTTAATAGGAGGGTTTTGAGTATAATAATTAAACAACTAAAATTGAACAATTTTGTATTTAGACTGGCAGTAAACTTTAAATTCCGGTCATGTGAAATTTTAATAATCTATTTATAGATATGCATGCAGATATCACAAAGTAATTTTTTTTTTTTATTTTGTTTACAAAAATCATATATATATATTTTTTTAATTGAATTAATAATTGTAATGTGCCGCAGAAACCTTTAATATACATACATACTCTCTCTTTTATGATTTAATAATGATGTGATTTTTAAGTATAATTTTACAATATCCAAACAAGCTTAAATCAAAGTATCAAAATCCTCTAATCCTTTATCTAATTTACGTGGTTTTGACTTTTAAATAAAATTGATAAATATAAACGAATGATTTAAAATAGATCCAAAATTATTATTAAATTATTAAAAAAATTTGTTATATGATATGTACCTTTTGAATGGATTGTCGTTCCATGGTGAGTTTTAACTCTTCTTCGATTAGAGAAATTTGATAACCTTCCCAATCTACTTTTAAAATATCTTGCGAGATCCTTGGCTGAATTGGTTGTAGACCAGTATTATCTTCTTCTTCCAGATTAATTAGCATTGGTAACTCTATTTCCTTTGGAGTTACTTCAGATGTTATTTCGGAGGTTATCTTGGAGGTCACCTCAGATGTTACTTCCGACTCAATTAATAATAATTCTTCTTGAATTGGTGTTTGTGAGATAATAGACTCGGATTTTTCCTTGTTGCTTTGATTTAATTAATTAATTATTAATTTGATTAATCATTGATTTAGAAATCAAAATTAAATATATGTAAGTAATTTGTATAAAATAAACCTGTCTTTCAATGTTAAATCGGAGAACTTTATCGTAATCTATAAAATAATAAAAGAAATAAAAAAAATATTTTACGATATTCTAAACTTAAGAAAATTTAAACTTAATAAATAATTACCTCTTTTGGCAATTCTAAGTTCTTATCATCTTTAGTTTGATCTTTCCATGATTTAGGTTCACTGTTTTTTGAAAACTCACATGATGATACCATAACCTAAATAATGTGATTAAATAAAATATAACTAAACGTGTAAATTCACTTTAAAAAAATTGTAATTACTTTTTTAGCATTGTTTTCTCCTGGCAACCCATTATTTAAGTCTAAAGGTGAGACCTATAGGAAACATTTCGCGACAATGTTAAAACTTGAATTTATAATATGGTTTTGGATTAAAATTAAGGATATTACTTGTGTTGACGCGTTTTTTTTATCCCTTGAATCTGAATCGGATTCAAGGGTCTCGTATTTATCATGAACCCACGTCTGATCCGGCACGTTATTCGTAGATTCTCTTTTCCGTTGAACTTTATAATTATCCTAGTTCATATAAAAGGAATAAACATTTAGGAAAATGATTTCTGAGGATATTACATTTATGAAAAGGTAGGTATTTTTACCGGTTCATAACCATTGGAGTAACCACTGGATTGTGTTCCATCGTCATTAATCGAATAGGTTTTCCAATGATCCTTAATGTAGGAGGTAGATCTCGACCTTGGAGGATGGTAGATATGATTAGAAGAATATGGTTTACTATTCCAAGGGGATGATTCATCTTGGCAGTTTTGATCCTCATACTTTATTTCGCTATCATCATCATTTTTGCAATCGAAATCGGGAGAGGTTGAAAAATTCCGAGAAGATTCTTCCCAAATTGGGTCAACCCCAAATTGATTGCCTACGGATGTTATAAGAGAAAATAAATTATTGTTAAATTATTTCTTTCGAAAGTATTTAATAGCTAGAACTTACAATCATTTGATCTATCATTATTAAGATTATTATAAATTGGATCATGATCTTGATAATCGTCTCTCGAATTTGGCATAGTGTTACGACGACGAAGAGTCCGTGGTCTATTATCAATAAACCAAACACCTCTTCCTCTTGTACCTCGACCGCGTTGTGGTGGTTGGGACCATGATTCTCTTCTTGGTCTACGCCAAGGATCCTTAGACGATGAATCATCAACTTTATCAGGTTTTTCCTTAAAATAAGTAATTTTCATTTTGTTAATATAAAAAAAAATTAAAATTAGTCACTTAAGACAGTATTGTCTAATGAAATTTACCACAGACTCTTCTTTTATACCCAAAGCCAACGCGTTCCAACTCCTATACTGAGATTGGTTACGAAATGCCATATTGCTTCAAAAAGAGTGAAAAAGTTTGAGTTTTGATAACAGTGGGAATATTCTTACTTATTTTATGATTTTTGGGGGGATCATTTTTAAGGGACAGTTGCACTAACATAATAGTCGTCATAGTTATCACGTGTCTATTTGATGAAGATCATTCAATTCAGTAATAAGTTAAGCACGTAATAACGAGGTCTGGCTTATTCCTTTTTTCGTTACTTGATTAATCTGGTATATACCCTTTTGCTGTGTACAAAGCAAATTATTCACTCCGCAGATCAGTATTTTTTTTTTTTAAGGTTTCTGGGAATATTTTTTAAGTTAACCACCAGATTTTCATGCATTGGCACAGCATAAGTCAAGTCTGGCGCAGTATAATTTATTTTGGGAATCTTGTGTTTGGGGTGCATTTCGTAATTAGCAATAGAGGTAGAAATAAAACAATTAGCTTTAGAAATTATTCGAGAGCAAAGAAATAATATGATGCTGGGACTTTTATAACATCAAATATTTCATTTGTTTTTCTACCATATCCGAACTATATATCTGAAAAATCAATAAAGTTTTAAACATTTTGGCGTTTAGTTTGCAATAGAGATTAGAATTGTGTAATACGTGCGTGGTAAATGGTACTAAAATAAAGATATATTATCTAAGTTATGCCAAGCATTAAATTCTATCACGGTATATTATGTGTATCTGATACTATGCCTCGTGTAATGCGTGAACAATGAAAGTTTGATATTAGAGGTATAAAGTTATAAGGCAGCCATTTTATTTTCTCATTTCTGTTAAAAAATTTTTTTTTTACAAAAGCACAATGTTTTCCACAAAATTTAATAATATAATTAATAGCCTCGCTTTTATAGACCATTCTACTTACTTTTATAAAATTTCTAGTGAAATAGTTAAGTTCTTGATATTGCCAAAACTTGACTTTATGAGCGAGATTTGGTGTGACTTAATGTGACTTAACTTTTGATATATGGCATGTACTTCAGACAAAGTCCCGATCTTTTGTATGTATTAATAAAAAATTTTATGTATGATAAGTGTTTCTGAAAACACGTGATTTTTAATCATGAAGAATCTTCACAGTTGCACCTATTATGATGCGATAATGCGATAACGTATATGTTTAAGCTGAGAAATATTTTTTGATCGTAAGACGGAGTGAAAATAAATATAATGGTAATGAAGAGAGCAGTTATTTTTATTGAAATTTTTGGTATACACTTATTGATAATCTCCAGAATTATGCATATCGAAAAATTAATAAAACGCATATTATTTTTTTAAATCTTATAGCTACAAATTACTTTAATGCAAATACGAAATATATATTTATCAATGAATTACATTTCATTACTGCTATTAATGGTTGACGAATATGTCCTACAATAATCGATTATAGAATTTTGACTCTCTTTATCCAAGAATGCATTCACATGCTCGCGAACTATATAAAATATAATAATTTTAGAAAAATCTTAACAGGAAAATGGGTAGGAAAATTGGATCTAGAGCTTTGACCGGAAAGAAGATAGGAGAAATTATAGTCGAAACAGTGGAAGGGACATTTTGATAGACCGTTAAGAAAATTCATCTAAGAAATTTTGTAATTCCATTTTTTCAAGCTTATTCGACCCGTAAGTAAATTCTTGAATTCCAACTCCACATATATTTCGAGTTCCTGTTGAAAAAACACATCCAACAGCATATAGGGACTTGTCATGAAATTCCGTATGGCAAGAATAATATTCATTTGTAAATATTTGTTCTATTGCTTCTTGTATTAAGTTCCTGATTACTTGATCATTCGATGTTTTTGGTGGAATGTAGCGTTTGTATTCAAGATAGTAAACGGACATATTTGTCATTATCCACATATCAGTTCTGCCTTGACTCGTAGCGTCCTCACTCCGAAATGGCAATCCAATATAACGCACTAACATATGGACATGCGAATGGTAATAACCCTCGTAATCTCCTGCATGTTGACTTTCATTATATGGGATAGATGCTAAATCATCATTAAATGCTCTCATAAATTTAATAAAATTATCATTCTTGAGAAGTCTTGCTAGTGTGTAAATTCGTTTGCATGCAGTTTCTATTGAAGTGTTATATAGACAAGCCCAGAGTTCGCTCATCAATGACTCTTTAACTTCGGAATTTGGAATTTCGAGAACTAAACACTGTTCGTCATCATCATCTATTTTCTGTTGTTTGATAGTTAAATAGCCAGTTTGGAATAGTAATGAAGCGGGAAGGTCAGATGATTTTTGTATATCATCAACATCAACAGGTACAACTAATCTTTTCTTTATCGTGATTTGATCTACGATATTCTTGACATGTTCTGTACCAATCAATCTAGCTAAAAATTTGGTTTTCCCTTTTTGAATCCAAAAGTTTTCATATTCAAAATTCTCAAAAAAACTGCAAATGCTATATGGGTTATATACTTTAATGTTGCCGTCCCAGGAATAACCATTGTATTTTTTCTGAAGTTTATTCATAACATCTTGCACATCATTATAGCGATCTGATTTGCCGAGATTTAATAGTTTGTCTCCAAACACTTTTGTTATCTCATCACTTGTGAAACCGTATGCCCCAGATAATTCATTACTTAATGTCACATCCTTAAGGTTATTTAATCCTGAAAATAAACCTAAATGTGCAAACATTGTTACACCCGTAACGAGAAGAAATTTAATTTTACTTTGTAGTGCCTTAATTACTTCAAAAAAACTCTTTAGTACGCCGTGGCTGTCATTTGCAATATTTGTGCTTTCTTTTGTGATACCAATGACATTTAATAGTGGTGAATCGTATTCGTCTATGAGAATTACCACTTGTCCATACTTATTTTCATTATCGTCAGCTAGTGACTTAATTAATTTAAAGGTGGCACTCTTAACATTATCATTCACGGTGTCGATGCCATATTGCTCTCCAACCGATTGTAAAACTCGAATCAAGTCCTTTTTTAACACTTCGGGTCCTTCATCTGATGTTAACAAAGAAAAGTCAAGCCTGATGACTGGTATCGGAGGCAAGTTCTCATTCCATCTCTCTGCTTTATTATTGACAAAAATGTTTGGTGGATGATCTCGTATGTATAGATTCTCAAAGAGATTATATTGAACCAAGTAGAAAGATTCAACCATTGAGAGAAACATTGATTTGCCAAATTTTCGAGGCCGTGATACGAAATATTGGCCATTATTTAACCGAAGCCGAGTTAACCAACACGTTTTGTCTACATATAATTGATGATACATGCGCATCCTTTGGAACTCTGATTCCGACACAGAGACCTGTTGAACCTCATTATTACTTTGAATAACAGATATTCCTTTAGGATCTATTTTCCAAAGGCGCCTTTTTTTCATTGGTGGTTCTTTTGTGAGAGAATGGGAAAAAATGGAAACAGAGAAACAAGCTGATTAATAAAATATCCGCGACTTGTTCGAGAGGTAAACCATTGGGAGACACTTACCAGCGGTGGGCTTTGGTGGTCCCACGATGATATGGATATGATTAGGTGTAAATACATGACCAACTGGAAAAATCGTTTTAATCAATTCACCTGGGCTCAAATCTTCACCAAGTTCTTGTTCAAGGTCAGTATCATTACAAAAATTTTCGTTAAATCTTTTCAAATCCTCATTATCTTTTTTGAAAGGGGTTTCGAACTTCCATAACCTCAGTTTATTAGCTTCATTGTTGTTGGGCCATATTTGTTTCTTGAGATGTCCAAAGGAGAACTTTTCAATAGGGACATCAACTCCTTCAACGCGGGTCATTTCGCCAATGTCAACCGGAATAGAACTATTAATAGGAGTACCTAGAAGGTAACAATATAAAGTAATGTCGGCCATATATCTGCAAACGTGTAAAACGAGAGTTAAAACAAGGTCAAAAAATTAATTTTCAGTAATATAAAATAAAGACCTTTTTGGATTTAACGTTGAACTAGCCCGGGACGGCGAAAGTACTCGAAATAGCGAATAGCTCGACATTTTGATTATTTATCATATATATATATGTTTCCATAAATGGTTGTTGACTAATTACTACAAACTGTGAGTCAGACTGAGTCGGCAATATGTCAAGAATCAAATACAAAAATTACGAAAAAAAAAAAAAAAAAACCATCGAAAATCAGCTACACATCAACTAATAAGTATATAAACACCGAGGAAAAAAATTTTTACTATTGAAAAACAACCTGGAAATTAACCCTAGTATGAACGATCTTTTTTTTTTTTTAAAAAAGGGAGAACGAAAATATGCTAATATTAATAAGAAATTTATTATAAAGACGAAAGTTTAATTATAGTACTCGTAAAATCTCTAATAACTTGGGAATGTATTGTTAAGTCTGGAACGATCTTAACTAAAAAAAAGCCAATCAGCATCGACTCAATTATTTAGCGGGCGGACATCGGGAGTCCTTCACTTCGTTCCGGACTAATAAACTTTTGATATAATTTTGATTTAATTAGTTGATGGAACACCCCAACGTCACGACGTCATACGAGAGTACGATCAAAATCGTTCAGTTGTCGGCGAAATTAATGTTCCGGCCGGACAAGACATTACGCACATAAGGTATGAATATTTCGGTTGTGTCTGCATTTGCAAGGAGAGCTAAAGCATCGTGGTTTTCTAGAGTGCCTTTTAAGTACTGCATGGCTAGATGATCCGGTAAATTTATTTGAAACCTGGAAATTTCGTGATTTCTGTTAACGGTATAAATTATCTTTTAAATTGTCTATATGATGGGAAGAACCCGAGTTTGCTCATATTTTATCAATATTCCACCTGAAGATTGGAATATTTCCGAGTTTTACGAGCATCGACAATAAGAAGACGACTTCACTGGCTCGTTCCGAAAGGAAGCTTTTACACTTGGGAAATCTCTCGATTATCTTATGAAAGACGGCTCACCTGAAGCAAAGTATTATGCTACTCTTTTGGATAAAAAGATCAGGACAAGTATTGTGTTGTCAATGGCTTTAAAAAATGGTTTAGAGCACTCACTACGACTAGGAGAGAAGTCTATGAACTGTCTCTTTGATGATCTATGTACTCATTATAGTTGAGTCTTTGTAATCTTCTATGACTAGAAGAGAAATCTACGCGCTGTTTCTTTAATGATCTGTGTTTGTCATAGAACTTTTATGAGGGGTAATAAGCTCACATAGCTATGTAGAATACTTATGCGCTATTCTCTTAATGACTTACGTATTCGCTGTAATCTACATGTAATTTAATATTAAAAGACTTATAAGCATATTACTGAGATTTTATTTTAATTATTACTTTTTTTATTTTTATTTTTGTTCTTTCATTTTTTTGAAAAAAAAAATGAAATAAGAACGAAACACGAAAATGAAAAGAAAAAATTAAACGAAAACTAAAAGAAATAAACTAAAAAGAAAAAAAAACAAAAAAAATAACAAAAACTAAAAAAAAAACTA